TTTTATATAGACATTACTATTTTTTTAATAATTATATAATTATAAAAATCGAAGATAAAACATAAAAAATTGAGATTTGATATATAAATAAGACGTAACATAATTTATATTACATTTTCATTTATTCTAAAATAACATTATCTGTAGTACAATTAACACGTAAAAGTTGTTGGTACTTGTTTATTCGATCTAAATACGGGGTAGCCCATGAAGCAGCACACGGATAGCAGAAATGAAAAAAAAATGTGGAGTAATAGTAGGGATCGGGTATCCTTCTACCAAGTCTAGTTTCACATAATTGTCCCAGTATGCTTACCGGAGGTTTTGTTACCTTTGTGTATACCTCCACAATCACATTGCAATACAACTTTAGATGAGTTCCCACATGAGTCACTTTTGCTTCTTTTGATAACAATAACAAAACCAAGTGAAAATGCCACATTGCGTACCCAATCAATTAGATCTTGACGAGAATTAAATACCTGAAATTGATTTTTTTTTAAGTTACAACTACTAGTTATACCATATAATTTAACCAGAATAAATGAAACTTAAAGATACCGTATCGTAGAAAATGCAGACGGTTGAGGGTTTCCGTGAGCTCCAGTTGATTTGTTTGGATGCACATTGTCATCTTCTCCCCAATAAAACTTTTGCGATAATAATATTTACATGATTACAAAAGTGTAAATATACAAATAATAGTTCTCATCACAACAAATATTATTGTAAATTGATAAATAGAAAGAAGAAGAAGTTTACCTCATTATTTGCCATTGAATATATCTCTTTCTTAACACTCATTTATAATTGAATTATGTGGTTGAGAAAGTAAGTTTACCGATTTTTTTAAAATTATAATTTTAAATTTACATTTTATACCCCTATAGTTAGTTAATTAATTTACTTTACGTCATTTACTTTTAAATGTTTTATTTTAAACATTTATCAAATTAACATACATAATCGTATATCAATTAAAACATGTTAAAAAATACATTTTTATTTTAACAAGTTACACAATTATAATCGTCTCGTTAATACCTTTGAAATGAGTCCAATATTGAATAGTTTTTGACTACATTATATTATTATATGTTATATTTACTGTGACAAAAAATTTCTAATATTTACGATTTACGATTTAAAACTCAAGTTTCTTGGTTATTTGCTCCTGGTGTAAATCGAACACATTTGTGGAGCCGTTTAAATATGTTGGATTTTAAATATATTGGATTTTAAACTGTCATACATTTTTTTTCATCGATAGTCTGTAATTGAAACCATAACTCTTATTTATTCAAATTGTCTAAATATGTAAAGACCAAGTGTAACTTATATCATCGTTAAATCTTATCTTATAAAATCAATGGAACTTCAAAATCGTTAAAATTCATGGCTCCCGCTGTATTGCACGGATACACAACTAGTATATAAATTAATATAATAGAAMAATATAAAAATCTAATAATATATATATATATATATAATATAAAAGTGTACGTATATATATATATATATATATATATAAAATA